AGCCATCGTGTGCTCAGCCGAGCGCGGGCACGCGCGTCCTCTCGCTTCATGCCGCCCCGCTTTGAGTGTGGTGGGGAGATAACTGCTTTTATCAATTTCATCTCGCATTTGAAATGTACATTTTTATATTAAGTTTTTACTACAGGGAATTATTTTTAATTATAGTGAGCTGGAAGATGATAAAATAAAGTCGAGTGAGTGAGACCTATGCGAAGAAGTCATGGAAACCATATCATAGGAGTGGAAAGACACTCCTAGGACACCCAGTATTGTTCCCATGAAACGTATCCTAATGTAAAGAAAATAATAGTAATTAAAGCTGTTAATCTTCTGCTTTTAATGAGGGGAAAGGAGAAGAACTGAATATCTCAGGGGCAAGATCCTGAAGTTTGTAGTTTGCCCAGGGAGGTGGCAGAAACCCCGTGCTGCAGATGCTCAGTTTTTAATGGTGCAAAGATTTTACAGAGCCCGTTGTCCTGGCCTGGGGACATCACTGATGTGCAAATGGGGTGCCTGTGTCCTTTTCATCCTTTGCTTTCCTGACCAGAAGAAACCACCCGCTGGCAGTCCCTGCTTGGCTGGGATGGGGCAGGAGTGAGCATGGGGGTAAATGAGCTTCCTGACCCGGTCCTCGTGCTCCTGGCTGTACGTGGTGTGAGCTGCGGGATGGCCATCACGTGGAGTGACCTCTGGGACCTAACTGGTCGTACATCTCGCCTGTTAACTCTTCAAGACCTTTATGTGAAGTCCTCACAATGGCCTGGTTTATCTCATTTATTAAAAGCCAAGCCCTCTGATGCTGTCCTGCCACCCTCCCTCTCCTGAAGGGATGCGTCTGGGGCGGGGAGGAGGGCAGAAACACGCGGGGTGGCTTTTTCCCCGTCGCAGTGCTCGTGCTCCTGGCGTTGCTGCTATCCAAGCGTGGACTGTTGGGTTGCCTCCCTTTGAAGCTTGTGATCAATATCCTGGAAGCTAAAATTTGGCTAACAAGTCCTAAGCTCCGTTAGAATAACTGTCTCCAGTGCCAAATCCGGGGCTCTGGAGCTATTAATTATTCTTAGCATCTTGTTGCATATTGAGCTGCTTCTAATCGTATCGTGAAACGAGATGGAAGCGGTGAGGAAACCAGTGGCTCTGCTGAGGCAGAGCGCCCTTCCACGGTAGCTGATTCATTAAAGTATTCCCATGAAATCACTGGGTGCCTCAGTGATTTTTTAAGGTAACAGCCGGAGGCGATGCCGAGACTCTGGGACTGGATGCAAACCAGACGCCGGGGGTGCGTGGCGGTCGCTGCGGGGTTGAGATCTGATGAAAGGCAGGAAATGGGAAAATCTGGCAGATCTGCCTGGCTTGACTGAACGGAGCCTCCTGACTTTCGCTCGGGTGCATTTTCTGTGCTGTAGTGGCCAAGTGGATATTTAGACTCGAACCTGGATCTGGGCGCTGCTGTGCTGAGCTGGCTGGTACGTGGTGGTGGACAAGAAGGAAGGGTGTTTGAAAATTACAGCCCCCAGCGTGTAACGGTTGCTGCCCTCTGAATTTTCTTTGCTTTACCTCGTAGCAGAGAAACCCGCAATGACAACAGTAACTTTTCCCTTGCTTTTTGTGTGGTACCTTATCATTTCTGAGCTGTCTCCCTTCTGCCACCCAAGTGAAACCGTATCTCATTCCTCAGAAGTCAGTGGGGTTTCATTAGCGCAAATTAATTCAGAATCCTGGGTGGTTACTTTAAAATAGACACCACTGACCCATATTGTGGAAGAGTGTTGTGTTTGCAGAAATAGGAACCAATTTATCAGTGTTCCCTTTCACCTCTTTTTGTGGGGCTGGGGCATGTTTTCAGCCAGGTTGTTCCTTCACTCTTACCCCTGGCGAAGGGGAGCGATGTCCTAGCACCCACGCAGATAAATTCTCAGCTTCAAGCCCGTGAAGGAAATCTCCCATGGCCCACCAGCTGCAGGAGCAGACCCTTAAAAGAGATGCTGAGAAGTGATCCTTGCAGTGAACTTAGCTAATGGCTGTTAAATTGCAACCTTTGGGCTGTTCTTTCAGTTCTTCTTGTGCTTTTTTCCCCCCTGGTCCAGCTCCCGGGCAGGGTGCGAGCTGGCGTGGCGCTGAGCCGTGGCGCGTGCCGTCGAGCTGGGCCATTAAGATGCCGTTGTAGTGTGACTGTGGTTTTTGTAGCCTCCCTTAATTTAATTTACCTTTGTATGTTCCGACTATAATCAATTTTTATGCTACTTTAATAGGCAAATTTATGCTATCAGCATGCTAAGGGGACTTGTCATTCACAGCTTCCCAGTCAATCCACCATTTTCTGTATCAGCCAAGTCCTCAAGCCGTCCGAAATTCGGTAACTGCTCGGCAGTTACCAGCTGGCACGCCGGTCCGCAGCGGGCGGGCGCGTGGCCCTTGCCTGTGCTGGCCCCTGGAAACGCTCCTCGCGGTGCAGCAGAGACGAGCAATTGCACATCCCCAGACACCGGGCAGTCTGACTCGGCTGGATTGCCAAGTGTTGTTACAGCAAATGCAGACTTTTATTTCCTCCTTGTGAGAGAGACAAATCCTGCGTTAGAAAATGCCTGAGCGTAAAAAAAGGGTTGAGTTTACTATCTGCAAGCCAGCGACTGGCAGGAATCGCTTTGCTTTCCTATTTAAAGCGCAGCTCACCCGGGCGTCTCCCCTTTCTCCTCACCTTGCAGGAAGATTTGCCTTCACTGCAAGTGCTCCCAGGAAGAGCACATCGTAACAGTTATGCCTCTGGAGATGGAGAAGACCGTCACCAAGCTGATGTTTGACTTCCAGAGGAATTCAACTTCTGACGACGACTCAGGCTGCGCCTTGGAAGAGTACGCGTGGGTCCCCCCCGGCCTGAAGCCCGAGCAGGTAACGATGACACCACCGAGTTACCAGAAATAAATCGATTTAATCTGCTCTTTGGAAACAGTGGCCCCAGTTTTCTGCTTGGGATGCGAGCGGTTGTTGCGTGTGGCTCTGTTTCTGGGTGCGCTATAGAGGCTTGCAGAGACAGGTCGGGTCTGAATGCACGAATGGAACAAAAGAGACGTGATCCTTGCAGGGCTTGTGTTTTTCTGCGTCTGTAGATGTAATTGGTAACTGAGAAGGGAGAAACAAAATACTTCCAGGATGGGGTTTGTTGTGGTTGTGCAAGGGAACAGATACAGGCGTATCTACTATGGTTTCATGGGGAAAAAAGTGGCGGGGCTTCAGTGTGCCCGGGGGACTTGGTGCTCGTGTTCTGCCCTCCTGGACCGCTCTGCTCTGTGGGACGTCCAGGGCAGACAGTCCAAGCTGCCGGGTGACTCTGAAAATGGGCCGAAGTCTTTGGGGCTGGGTTTCTCAACCAGGATGTTGGTGCTTTACTGGAAATAACTGCTCAAATGCAGTTCAAGTCTCCCGGTACAGGAACAGAGCGGGGTGGGTTAGACCTCAGTGTGCAGTCTGTGCAGAGTGCGCACTGGTTCCTGCTCCTTGCCTTTTACACGATTCCTTTGGTTTTTATGCTGGTCTTGTACGTGCTCAACTCGGAACTTAATTTGCAGAAGAGATTGCAAAATGAGCTTAGCCTTGATAATTGCTATGGCAATCATTTTAAACCATGTAAGGAGGCTGGGAGAGGGTGGAAAGCTTTCATTCTTGCTGTTGTAGTTGCTCTGCTTAAATATTGTGTTTTCTTGAGCTTTTATTCAGAAGGGCTTAGGCATTTCCTGAAATATTTTGGCACCACCCATGTGCTGTAAATATTATCTGTCTGATTAGAGAAAATCCAGTTGTTTGGTGTTTTTTTTTCCTTCTTCTTGTCTTTACAAGCCTGGGTCGGTGCTCACTTGAAACTCCGCAGCACCGTGTGTTTCATTTGGTGCCACCCAACCACGCAAATCAGGCAGCAGCCTTGCTTTCTGTCACCTCCCTGATGTCAGAGGCTCCCTTTGTGCCTCCCAGGAGGTACCAGACACGGTGCATGGACAGATGCAGATGGTCCTGCGGTAGCTGTGCTGGTCCTGCCCGCTGTGGGGTCACAAACCAGTTGGGTTTTGGAGCCCCGTTGGAGGACCATACCCAAGCTGGTGCCACCTGCTCTCAGCACTGCCTTCTGTCCAGGCATGTCGGTGGCTGCTAGAGCCCAAGCTGGCCCACGTCGCTGTAGCTTTGGGTGGAAGTACAGCTATTTAGTGACAGGTGGCACCTGACCCAGGTAGACATGGTCTCTGGTGAGTACAGCATGGCATGGACAGCAATGGAAACCCACTGCCAGCACAGTGGTGACATATTCCAGAAGACCTGGATGCTTCTTTGATCCCTCAGGTGCTTGTTAAGAAATAGCGTGCTGTCAGGGAGTTTGGGAGGCTCAAGAGAAAATAAAAGTCCGTGAGCTGTAGCAGTAGGTACTGACATCTCATGCATTACTCCGGTTAATGTATTTTTAGGTTCTTCCAGTATCTGTTTCTTGCAGAGGTCACAGTGCTCCTCGACACGAACACCCGCTTTCTAATTATGCTGCTCTGTCTGCATTGCTGGGTCTTTTAGCAGATTTGCCACTTCAGACCTGTCTCTAATCACCATGGAGATGGAGAGCAGCCGCAAGCAGAGCCTAAGACAGACACTGAAATCCTTCCAGCGTAGCTCATCCACCAGCCCTTTCGGGACCTTTCACGCCTCAGATGAGCCACTAAGGAGACAAAAGCAAGGTGTGACTTATCAGGGCTGTGAAAGAGCCACGATGCAGGGCTGGCGGTTGTCCCCGAGTGAAGAGCAGCACCCTGAATTTCTCCCGGAGTTACCACGTGCCCGGGGTGCCGGAGGGTGCCGGAGGGTGCCGTTTGCCTGCCGTGGGGGTAGGAGGTACCTCTGCAGCAACTTGCTGGAGCCGTGCGAGGCTGCAGACAGACGTGTGGCTTTCTGGTCGATGAGTCAGGTGTGCGTACGTGATGTGGAGCCTCTGGAAGGCTGATGTCTGCCATGGAGCAGCTGGTGGGCTCCGCTCCGCCGGAAGACGCTGCTGTCGCGCTGGGGTGAAAATGCACGTTTGCAGGCGGTGAATTTTACTCTGCCTTCCACTGTTTCACTGTTGTATTTCTTTGATGTGGAATAGATGAAATGAAACAACTTTTTTTGCAATATTCTGCTTTATTGAAATCTCTATGCAGCGTATGAGCTGGGGAGGTAAGTGGTCCCCTGAAAGACTAATGCAGTTCTCTTATTATACTTGGACGACAGCCTTCCTACCTCGCTGTTCTTGGGAGACAGCGTTCACATCTCACTCAACACAGCAATTTGCAGGATTTCAGGGCGGTAAGTTGGCCAACAAACATGACATCGGGTTTTGGCAGTTTCCACAATTCCATTTCAGAATTTGGAGAGTCCCTTCAATCCATAGCTTAAATTATTAAATATAATCTAAAGGTGAAATGACCCAAAGCTACAAGGTCTGCCTGGATTCCTGGGCAGTAATTCAGGCTGCAGCTGGTCTGTGGTACGTCAGCTGTGTGAAAATCGTGTTGGTTACCTAATGCCCACTCCGGAAGAGAAGAAAAGCGTTGGTGCAGTGTTCACAGATAATGATCCAGACACCGCATCAAAGAGCAGAGCTGAAAGTTGTGCCTTATATTATGGCTCATCAGTGTGCAGGACTGCAAAGTGCTTTATGCCAAAGCCATAAATATTACATATTTCTAAATATGTTTCTAACACAGGGATGAAGATAGTCATATGAAAAATGTTATAATGCCACTGCCTAAGGTACGGTAAAAATTCATCTGGAAAACTGGCTAAAATTTATGACATCTCTGCTCAAGAAAGAGGGGTATAAACTGGAAGGAGACTGGAAATATGATTTCGCTGAGGAGCCCAGAAGAGCTTGGTGTGTTCAGCCTAGCAAATCGAAGGGTTATGATCACTCCCTGTGCATTAGAGGAGGAAGAGCAGTTATTCAAGCTCCAACTTTGGCACAAGAACATGGATATAAACTGGCTCCAAATGCATTCAGGCAGGAAATTGGAAGAGGTTTCAAACCATCAGAGGTGTAAGGCTCAGCGGCAACCTGCCAACAGGGAGAGCAACGGGTAAAATCCCGCGACTGAGCTCCATAAATTACAACGTGATTAGAAAATGTGGTTTCTTGTAATAGCAGTCGGCTATACAGGATGGCCAAGAGGCTCCTGGGGGCTCTAATGCCGCTCGGATTGGACCGCGATGAGAAGTTGTCTTATGGCAGAAGAGGGACTTCCCTTCTGGAAGATACGGATGCAGATGGGAATGGGAGAGGTGGCTGTACAGGAGGCGAGGAGGAAGCTTGGGACGTGGGCTTTGAGAAATACGCTTTTTTCCTCCCTGCCGTTCGATGGTTGGATAAAGAAATAACTGTGGAAGTCTTGAAATGGGCAGACACCAAGAGAAACGTGTCCTCAGCAAAGCAAAGTCCCAGCCCAGGCCTGGCTGCGAAGACAGGGGAAGGCAGCTTCGGGAGCCAGTTTGTCTGCTGGGGCTGGCAGTCCGACAGCTGATCCTCCTTGCACTGACAGAAGTTTGAGGGCAGATGCTTAAAAATAAGTACTCTTATGATGTGTTTTTCACATTTTTAGGCAAGGCTTGTGTAAATACATGTGAATGCGCAGCCTTGAATTCCTCAGGCCTGTGGTTTGGAGAAATCCAAAGGGGTTATAACATGCCAGCTTGAATTTCTGAATACAAGGGATTTTTGAGGATTCCATCCTTATTGTGTCTCAATAATAGGAGCAGCTGGTTATGGGCACAGATTTCCAATTAAACAAAAGAGGGGGCTCTACTTCAGCTGCGCTGTGGCTTTCTGCATGGCTCCGCCATGCCAACATTCAAGACCTTTGAATGTGCCATAAGAACTTAATTCCCTCTTGCTGTCAGCACAGTTGCTCTGATCGAGTCCCTTAAAAAGTTATGAAGATCTCATCTGAGCTAAAATTAGTAGCATGAAGGTTCAGGGGACCATTTTCCTTTAAGGGGGCCATTAGAGCTTGGACCTCGAGAGCTTTGCAGTGTGGTGTGAAACTCGTAGCTGTCACGGGGAATTTATTCAGGGGCTAACATATGTGTTGAGTCCTGTTCTGGATCTTTTGCAAGACTTGTAGCAAGGGCTGGAGTTATAAAACCTCCAAGCTCCATTGGTTGCTGTTCAGGTCACGAACTGAGGAAAGGAGAGTGGAGATGAACCTACACCGAACATGCATTTACACCTTACCTAAAGATACCCACTTTCACCACCTCAGTGTGGTAGAAAGTACACTATGTGGGCCAGTCGTCGCTGGGGACATGGGCCTCACTTCTGCCTAGATGTTGTGATCAAGTGCATTTTACCTTCTCATCCTTTCTTGAGCCCTCTAAGTTCAGCAAACTGTTTCACTCCTCAAGAGACTGCAGTCCTGCGTGCAGCAAGCAAGGACCAAAATAGACCCCGTGCCCCAAGCCCGCGTGGTAATGGGGGACACATAAAGTAATTTATGGCCATGTAGAGGAAGGACAAAAGCCCCACGAAGAGCTCTGCTTTCCTTGGTAGATCCATATCCTGAGAGCAGAGCGTGCGGGACGGGGAGCCGAGGGTGCTGAAGAGGAGCTGTAGCTCACGTATGTACGCCGGTGCCAGAAGCTGCAGCCACCTCTAGCTCTACCCCCTTGGACACATGAACGCTGTAGTGTTTTACCAAAAGCTGCATTTCAGCACATTTTTGAAAGCTCTCCAATTTCACTTGGAGGTAGCGGTACATCAATCACCTCCCCAGTGAACTCTCTCGGTATCTGAACAGCCTGGCAGGTAGCGGCTCTCGTTTCAAGGCTGGAGCTGTCTAAATCCAGCCTCCAGGCATCGGACCGTGCCGAACGCTTCCCAGCCGGAT